CCTTGATGACTTGCCCCCTCCCTCACGTTTCGTCCACCGCCCACCGCCTGCGCAGCATTTTACTGCAAACACCAAATTCCGACATCTCCTACCTGCTTGCCACCGCTCAGCTTGAAGAAGAGATTGAGGAACATTGGCAGTGGTTGTTGGATACCCTTGGCCCACGCCTGGGTGCGTTGCCCCCCTCACCGGAAAACCTACGCCCATCCAGAAGTCCTCTCATCTCCACATCACTCCCTCCGTGTTCTCCCACTCCCTGCTCTTTAGATGCCTTTGAAGCACCTGAAGATCTTCGAGACTACGTCTGCGGCAAGGCAAGCACCAAAGACCCTTTGTCCAAACCAAAATATACGCCTGCTGCCAACTTCCTGACGCCCACTCAACGATATAGGTCGCCTCTATGCATGCCTCCACCTCACACGCCCCTCAAGATGCCAATATGGTCCGCCACGCACCTTGGACCCGAGCCTCCGCCCACCCCTCTTGCTTGGTCTGCTGCTCGCTGTCAAAAAAAAAAGAATCCTGCCTCATTAATCTTACGCGACGCAGGCTCAGTTTGACTCGGCCGTGGCAGCGTTTCGTCGCCTTTTCGCCATGCCCCCCCAAGAACGCCTTGTCCTTTGTGGGTGACTCTCTACCTCTCCCTCACACGCCGTGGCTGAGCACCCGACGGCACGCCCCTTTCTCATCTCCAACTCAACCACCTCCGTTTCTCCGCAAACCCGCCCATCCAACTACAGATCGCGCTGGAAATTATATTGGCAATGGCCTTCCCCGTCAAGGCTGGATTTACATTAGGTTTGCACCGGCCTCTTACCCGGCTGGAAAAATTCAACTCGCGCTGACTTGACCCCCAACCCGTCTCCTCGCGCCCATAGCATCAATCATCTCTGCTTCTACTCCTTTATTATGGGGGAAGAAGTGCGCCTCTCGCTGCCATTCACAGAGGTCATGGCCCTTCGTCAGAGCACCCGCATGCTTCTTGGCCAAGGTTTTACCATTCAAACCCGAACCCGCGAAGTGAGTCATGATGTGCCCGTCAGCTCTTCCTTGTCAACCAACGACCCACTCACGCTGCCCGTGCGCTGCTGCCTTGCAGTATCTCTTCTTCATGCTCAATCATGACGACGTCATGCGCCTCATCCGACAACTCACAGCCAAAGCCATGCGCCGGTACGCCCCGGTACCTTCGTCCTTCCAGGAAAGTTGAAGTCGACTCAAACGGCAACTTCCCATGCGCACACACGCAGACTTTTGGAAATTAGTGACGATGCCTTTGCGATGACTCGAGCCAAATTTGAATCCAGCCTGGCTCGTGAAGAAAAGGTTGGGCCTCGCCTCTCTGCTCTCCTCTCCCCCGTGCCCCCACCTGTGGCCTTGGTCGCTCGTGCCTGCTGTACCGGCTTGCATCTGCCTGATTGGTCGTCGCGTCGACAACCTCTCCTGCACATGACGCTTGCCCTGAAATGATGTCAGACGGAACAAAAGATTGCAGAGCCTGCATTGGCCGACTACTTTGCACGCCTGGACCTCAACGAAGAGTACCAAGAGCTTTTCCGTCTCCCCGCCACCGAAGCGCTCGACAGCATCCATCAAGCATCAGTCATCGACCCTCAGGAAAAGGTGTGGCCGCGTATCGCTCACCCCGAGCTACCCAAGCAAGCCTCAGCTGATGCCATCCCACGTGCTCCCTCAACCTTTGGCATTTTCTCGCCCCGTGCAGGATTTTGTCTCGGGCCGTCTCTACCTATCCCGACACTATCTGTGCTTCTCTTCTCGCTCTCGCAATAGCTGTACTGTTATTCTTCCCATTCGGAATGTATGTCCTGTACCAGTTGGCGACCTCTTCCGAAATATCCTCAGCTTATCATGTACCACCTTTAAACCTGTTGCTTGTGTGCTTCCCTTTGACCATTCAGATTGCCAGTGCTGAGCGTGCTGAGCGTCAAGCCGTTTTTGTTGCCATGCGTGAGACCACCAATCACCTCATGCTCCAAGAACTCTCAGCCCCAGATGAATTTATCAAGGACCTGCATCAACGCATGCATGACCTGCGTCAGCAACGCTTACACAAGGATCCTGCCACAAATCCTGCGCCCGACGCCACCGGCCGGCCCGTGGAATCCTCCCAGGAAGCCTCGGCCCGTGTCTCACCAACCACCCCAGCAATCTCTGCACCCCGTCCCGACTTTGATACCCTTCGAGCAGAACTCGCTACCCAAGTACTCACTGAGCCACTCTACTTGTATGTTCGGACCGGGTGTGGCTATTTTTCCTGATTTGCCCAGCCACCTGGTCAACGCTCATGCAAGGGCTTGCCACAGGCAATTCGGTACCGCGTCGGGCAAAGAAGCCAAGCCAGTGAAAAAGGCCATTTCTACGGATATCAAAGGTAATTTGATTAATCGTGCATAATGCAATACCCAACTTGTGCTTGTACATCAAGATTGTACATCAAGAGAAGGGATCGGCCTGAACATGCACAGGCCATGATGCGCTTGCCTCCTTTTGGCATTGCTGCCCGCAGAGCACATGTGGGACATGCATTTTACGGAGCATGGGCGTGGCATTTCAGCCTTTCGCACACCGGCTGACCGCGAGCTCATCAAACAAGGCATTCCTCAGGGCTTGCGCGAAAAGGTATCTCAGGGTCATCCCAGGCCATTGGCGATGCGGATGCCTTTGTACGATGCAATACCACCCGTGTGACCATGTTATCCTCACGATGGGTACCATTCGCGGCCTAGATTTGGATGCTATACTCAGGGGCGCTCAACGATCGCGTTGGTCATGAGTCGGAATATCTCGACCTTCTGGCCACGCACCATGGGGAGAAAACCATCGCCACGGAGGAGATTGAACGCGATCTGCACCGTAGCCTGCCAGAGCACCCTGCGTTCCAATCCTCCGTGGGCATTGACGCCTTGCGACGCGTTTTGACCGCTTACAGCTTTCGCACACCCGAAATTGGCTATTGCCAAGCCATGAACATTGTCTCCTCGGTCCTTTTGATCTACTGCTCCGAAGAGCAGGTAGGTTGCTTTCTTTCTTTCTTTTTTTTTTTTTTTTTTTTTTTCTTTTTTCTTTTTTCTTTTTTTTTTTTTTTTCTTGCCCTGAAGAGTTGTCTTTTTGCAAAGCGGGCCCTTCATTTCTCGTGCATTGGTTTTGCGCAGGCATACTGGCTGCTCACAGCCTTGTGCGAGCGACTTTTACCCGACTATTACAACACAAAGGTTGTCGGGGCTCTCATCGATCAGGTGAGCCAGTGATGCTTTAATCGTTGTGCGTCTCCTCCCACTACTCTGCAATCCACCTTAAGCTTGGTTTGTTATGGCCTGACAGGGTGTTTTTGAGGAACTGATTGCCGACCACTTGCCAGACCTCCACGCCCACCTTTCCAAGCTTGGCGTCATTGGCATGCTTTCTTTGCCCTGGTTCATCACACTTTTTATCAGTGCCGTCCCTTTTCAAAGCGCCGTCCACATTGTTGACTGCTTCTTTTATGATGGAGCTCGTGTACGTGCTGCGTCTTTCTTCTCTCCGTGAGCCTACTCTCACACCACGGCGCCGTTTTATCGCCGTGTACAAATGAACCCTGTTCCCTCCACGTACTCATGGCCGTTCTGAATTTGTTCTTGTTTTCAGGTGCTGCTGATGGTTGGACTCGAAATCCTGGCTCAAAATCACGCAACTCTGATGGGTTTGACTGAGGACTGCTACGTCATGGCCCACCTTTCAGCATACCTCCAGGGTACCTCCCGCTCATTTCTCTGGCTCGCCATGCCCGTTGATGTGTGTGGATTTGACTTGCTTGCGATGCTCATTGTAGCTCGTTTGTGCTTCTGTTCCAATCGTAACTGGCAGGCATCAGCAATTTTGATACTGACACAACACACAAGGGCTCAGAAAAGGTTTGCCGGCTTGTACGGCACAGAGTGCGGCCTGACATCGCGCGCACTAATATGCCCTGGTGGTTGTCTCAACTTGGAATGCAGAGCATATCCGTCAGTGAGCTCATTCAGCTGGCCTACCAACACTACAGCCATGTTGGCAATGAGGAAGTGATCGAGATGCGGCATCGCGTGCGCTTGCGCGTCGTGCAGACGCTTCAAGACTCGGTGAGCAAGTCGGCTGTCCGCGCCGCCGTCGACGAGAGCCTGCTCACGGAGAAGGAGCTGTTCATCCTCCACCGAGTTTTCCACGAGGGTTGCATGAAGGTGGGTGGCGTACTCGCTGCCAATCACCTATAGTGTGCTTTGGGCCGTTAGTTGGCCCTCATGCGCGGCTGCACGTTGAATAGGTCTATTATTGGTCCCAAGACTATGACACGCGCCAGCGTTTGCTTAATGAAGAGCAATTTGTTCTCTTGATCAATCGCCTCACGCCCTGGGGTATGATTTGGTTGTGCACGCGTGTCAAACGGCACGTGACTCATCGTGGCCGTGACTCTGTTCTTGATGCTCACGCCTGAACCTGCTTTTGCGATGTTGCCACAATAATGTAGGCATTTTTGCCGAGGCCCTGTATCAATTGGCGCGATCTGAGGGACCGATCAATTTTGTTGCCGTGGCCGCGATTATTGGCGTTATTTGCCACGGCAGCATCAACTCACGCCTCATCATGTTGCTCCGCATGCACGGTGAGATTGGCACCACCTGAGCACCTAATTTTTTTTTTTTTTTTCTTTCTCTTCCTCCTATTTTTCAAATAACGTTTGGGTTGACAATTATGCAATCATGCAGAGACTTCGGCCACGCGGCAGCAGCCAAACGTGGTAGACCATGAACAATTGGCTCTGTTATGGCGTCAACTCTCCTTGCTGTTTACGGTTTGTCGACGTGCATTGACCCCGGCGCAGCCGATGTCGAGGCTGCGCACTCATTTTGTCTTGTCGCCAGGATATGCCGGGGGAAGAAAGTACCCGTTATGAGCAGGCCTTTAATGCCGTCGTGGCCGTGGCTGTGACCTTTGCGACAAGCATTGAAGTGCAGGAGAAGCCTACTCTCCCCAGCTCCGAGGAGATGCCCACAGACCTGACCACACCAGCCAGCGTTACATCACCCACGGTTTCTGTCACGGAAGATCCGGAAGATTCTGAGCTTGACTCTGCCAGCCGGAACGAGCCTGGGGCTGCTACCGCGGCTGCGAGTACAGATCCGGACGTGACAACAGCTACAGACGCGGCCACAGCCTGCGAGGCCACACATGCAACGGATGCACCTGTAAACGACGAGGGTAATATGCACGACTCGGTGTTTGAGGCGGCGGAGGCCAGTACAGCGGATGATCCAACCGACTCGCCGGCCTCGACACGCCCCCGAGAGAGCCGCCGTTCTGGAACTGAAGCGACGAGCTTGCTGACAGCCCCCGTGTTGGAGGGACGTCCCCGCACGGGCTCTCTCTTTTCCCGCTCTTCGATTGAGTCGCAAGAGGCCAATGCCTCGTCGGAGACAATGACGTTTCAGGTCTTTCGCGCCGCCGTTATGTCACAGCCTTTAATTACAGAGTATTTTTCGGGCGATTTTCCCCTCCAAGACGCAGACCTGGACCAGGTGCCCGTCAAGCCCAAGCGTCGCCGGCTGCGCCGAGGTGCTTCAAAGGGAACCGGCACCTCGACTTCCGGCGCAGGCAGTGCCTAGACTGCCGCTTACACGCCAACCAAGCCGAAGCTACTTTGCCGTCGTCGCCTGTGGTGAAATGAAAAGACCTTGGATGGTTGGCATCCGCGCGGCGGCAATTTTTGTTGTCCAACATGGACTTTTGTTCGGTTATTTTGCATTGTTGCTTATTTTATTTCTGGCTGGGCAGATGAAGTCGCCATTTGGCAAAGTCCACGTGCTGCTGAGCAGCTCCAGAGAGAATCAGCTCTACGCTCCCAGGCCCCCGCGACCAAGCCCCAACGGCCCAAGACGGAACAAAACAAATGAATTGAGTTGAAAAGCCGGGTTGGAGCTCATTGTCTTGAATCATGGGCTGTGTGTGGGTTGCAAGACTCGCCGTCAAGTTACCTGGAGAATAGACGGCATAATTTTGAGCCAGGACTTCGTCAAGCAGCGGCCGGTCGGCAGTGCATGAAACGCAAATGGATTTCTGTCAGAAGCGTCAATGGGAAGAGAATGAACTGAGGCGGCGTCAAGGACGATGGCTAAGGCGTCAAGGGGACCATAAAGGGAGCCATACTGGTGGCGACTGACAATGGGTGAGAGGTCGGTGTCATGACCCTGTGCATCGCTGAGCCAGGCTTTGGTTTCAACCGGGGTGGTACACACGACGGCGCTACGCGCGGAAACATGCCAATTGTGCAGCTGGCGTGAGGCAAAGACGATCAACGCTGGAGTGTGAGCTGAGCGCGCGGCACGGCCAAAATAAAGCGTACTTTCCGCCGCCCGCCTGCACAATTTCTTGCAGGGTTGTGTGAGTTGGGACGACGGAGGGGGTGATGTAAAAAATCATATCTCGAAAGACCTAAATTGACAAAAGAACACAGTGACCAAAATGAGCGGTGCGGCGAGGGTCGTAACATGCAAGGGATTCCGAATGTGGTCCCATACCGCACTCTTGCCAACATGGCGCTGGCGCTCGAGTGAGGTGGCAAGTGAGAACCTACACACCATGGGATGGATGTGTGTATGGTGAGTTGGCGGTCTGCAGCGTCGTGCGGATAGGACGAAATCATGTGTTCTGTGTGCATTGGGCCAAACATACTCAAACTCAGCCTCGAGGCGATCGTCGTGTACGGCATAAGAGGATTCTGATGGTGCAATGTTCACAAAGAGCCGCGTGAGCGAGCGCAAACAACATCGATTGGCAGCCAACGCCGAGTCGGACTGTGGTGAGAAAAACTACCTTCGAGGAACTTGTAGCTGGCGTTGCAATCCTCCAGCCAGGACACTTCAAGAATATGGTCGCTGACGCACAGAGCTTTGAGAAAGTTGGCCTGAAGAAGGAGGAGAAAGACAAAAGGCGACTTGTAAGAGCATGGTTGGGGGATAGGGCTTGGTCAGGTCTGGGGTATGAGCGCGATGTATACCGTTCGCGAGGGGGCACCGACAACAAGGTGTGTGCTTTCCTCGGCCGACACCACCTCACCACCTAGGGTCCATACGATCTACGTCAAAAAAAGGGGGGAGCGGGGGTGAGGGGGGGCCAAGGCCCAGCACCAACGCCCATGAGGTCTCCCCTTAGTGATCGTTGCCCCGCTTCAAAGGACTGGGCGCTTTAGCATGCCAGCGCGATCGGGCCCCGGCTAGCTTGCCGGCAGCTGCCTGTGCACATACATGCTCAAAGCGACGTCGATCATTGCTGGGAATGGACGTGAAGGCGACCCGGGGCTTGCGTATCCGAGACACAGTGGTGTCTGCTGTTGCTACCGCCGGCTGAGCCGCTTGTGCCGGAACATCGTCCCCAGATTCACCGCTGGTATCAGCCTCCCGCTTGGCCTTTTTCGAGTCGCGCCGCTGCAAATGTCAACGCAACGCAACGAGCAAGACCAGAGACCGACATCCAATGCAATGCAGACAGAGGTGAGACCCCTTTGCCAACGGTGAAGCAGCCCGATGCACGGCTCGCGAGCAGCTTCACGTACGCTTGGCGACGGCGACGCCGAGGCTGGCGTTGGCTCTGTTGCCCCCACCTCAGGCACTGCCGTCGGCGTTGCCATCCTGATCAAATCCAACCCCGCCCCTCCTTCTCTTCCCAACCGTGCCCCTCCTTCCTGCTCCTAACCCTGCGTACCCCTCCGACACCCGCCCCCTCTCTCTCTCTCTCTCTCTCTCTCTCTCTCTCTCTCTCTCTCTCTCTCTCTCTCTCTCTCTCACTC